ATTTCAGGCCTGTTCTAAATCAAGAAAGACACCCAAGCAATGCTGTTTTTGTTCGAGAAAAGAGGCTATATTCTTCGCAACACGATGCAATTGTTGTGTTTCCGAGTTAAATGTGCCGAATCCAAACTGATCTGGAATAATATTAGAATTTTAAATTATTGGCAATACTCGTCGGAGAAGTAGTTTTTGTAAAATTTTGGCAAGGATAGAAATGGGTCTAATGGGTCGATAGGAACTTGGAAGATCAGAAGGTTTATTTAGCTTATGAATCATTTTAATTATAGAGAACTTGCAATGGAAAATATGTGGTCCTGAGTATAGCGTATAGGTATATAAAGAAAATTAAACTCTGTGGGGCAAATTTTGTAACATTTGTATAGTCATTAGATCATAACCTGGAGCTTTTGTGTGTCGTCTGATGGAGTAAATGCTTTAGAAGGAGGAGAGTGTTGCAAGGGGACATTCAAGTCGTGTGGAAAATAGGAAAATAAAATAATATTCCAATAAGTTTCACGTAAATTTTTCCAATTTTATATGGTGTAGGTTTTAATTAAGATTAAAAATAGCATTAAAATCCTACGACTATTACACAAAAATGGTGGTAAACTGTGGTTACAACGAAGACGTTCACTCCTTCCAAGCACTTCAAAGTTTTCAGACAAATCGTCAGAGATATGATCGACCTTAACCATCATGAAGACAAGATCAGTTTCCCGCTTCCTGACGTTTCACTCTAACCTTTCGTCTCATGCTACCCCTTGCGTTCAAGCCAATTATCTTTTTCTATTATCTATTTTTTCGTTAGTTTCTGTTACCTCCCTTCCACCAATTGAGAGTGCCAGCCTAGGTGGTTTTCTCAAGAATACTCCAGGATCATTGCTGACCGTAGTGCCAGAGGATGAAACCGGGCAAAAATCAAAACACAAAGCACAAATTTAAAAAAATTTAATCGTTTAGTTAATCGTTGTGTCAAGTTCGTTACGAACCTGCCTTTTATTTCATAATTTAAAGAGAAAAAAAAGTCCGCTCTTAAAAAATGCTTTAAAAAGGAGAAAAGAATCTACTATTGAAAGAAGACCTTCTTAATAAAAATTGGGCCTTTTGTAAGGGCGTTTGAGTGTTTCATAAGTTCCTTTCTACCCATCAATACTGCTGAAATATCTCTCATTGAAAATATCTTTTACATCAAACCTTTTTTCGCATCGCAACAAAATGAAATACTTAAAATCTATCTGGACAGGAGATCAACATGAAAAAACATGACAGTAATGAAGTAATCTGAAGCATACTAGACTTGAAACTTCATCCCTTATCATAATTATCATAAAATGAGGCTATTATTAATTAAACAATTAAAAAGGACACTTGAGTCTACCAATTTAATTAATTAATTATATTAATAAACAGATAAAAGTAAATTTCACTTCTTAATTGAGTGTAATTTTTCGTGTAAATTGTTTAAAACGTTTTGGATGTAATTCGATTTGGATCTACAAAATTATCTAGCCTAGATAACGAATAACGTCATAGAACCAAGCATGTTTTTCCATCATAAAAAAATGAAAGACTATATTAAAAAACAAGTTAATATATATGAAAAAAGTGAAAAGAAATCACTTATCAATTCTTTCCCCTCGAGTTTGATTTATACTTTTTATATTATATTATGGAAGATGTTAACAATCGCATGCTTTTGTGATAAAAGTCAGATTTTTTACGTCCTGGAAATTTCAATCTGGCGAAATGGAAAAGCGCAGATACAGCTCATCTTCTCGATAGCGGTGTCATATTAAAAACATAAGAGCAAATTGAAACACTTAGAAATTTGACATTATATCATCAAGTTTTTGGTTGGGAATGTAATATTTCATGAAAATCTACAAAAATACGCTGACTTTCTCCTTATCCTAATCAAGCCTGATTTTTGGTATAATCAAAATTTCAAAAGCGTAAATAAAAAAGCAGGCCTTTCTACGAGCTTGCTGGATCAAAAGGGTCGATAAATAAACTTTTGTAAAGAAATCTAATGGGGAAAAAGTGTCACGAGCGGGATTCGAACCAACGACGTTCGTCTCAATACGGCGCTTGGGGTCAGTGGGTTCGAATCCCGCTCGTGACATTAACTTTTTCATACCGACCAAGACCTTAGATAAAAACAAGAATTAATTTATATTGAAAGTAAAGTATATTAAAAACCACCACGTTTTATTTATGGTATAATTCAGAGGGATGAAAAGCATGGGGATTATTAAATATAAAACCTTTTTCTGGGAAAACCTGATCAAACAGAATATTTCTTTTGAGAGGCATTTAATTGAACAAAATATCTAAGACATAATCTTTACTTATTTAAATCAATTAGAAATATATATATATATATTTTTTTTTTAACGCAGTCATAAATTTTGTTTGCTATAAAACTCATTTTTTTCTTGTAAATATGGTAAATGTTAGTATTAACAATTTCATGAATCATAAAAATCATCTGGGATCTAGAAAAAACGTTGAATTTCCAAAACATTTGAGGTCATCCAGGTACATCCAGATAATAACTGAACTTAACATAAATTTTCTGAATAATATTAACTTTGCTGTTGATTCTGTAGCTTTAGCAAAAGAATATAATAACGGTAAATCAAAATGGTGTTCAAACTTTAAAAATATCTTTGGTTTAGGGAGGAATGCATTAGGACAAAAGTGAATTAAAGCTTTTTTTTATTGACTAACGTTCCTTTAATCATTTTTAGCTGCACTTTAAATATGCAACAATCAAAAATGTTGAAATTTTTAGTACATTGTGTAATCATGCACACAAGACTGCATTCACTGACGGGCCAGTAAGGCATGAAGTTTCTGTTTTCAATATTAGAAATATCGACCACTTTTTCACTCACGAACACTGGATCAAGGTATGGTCTTGAAGAAGAAAGCAAATTCAGTTTTAATGCCAAGTTTCGACCTATTTTAAGTACATCATCAGGGAAAAACTTGAATATGTCTACAGATTGGCATATCGGTCAGATTTAATCCTTGGCAATGTTGCTATTAACTCTGCTGTTAATTAAATATGCAAAAATGGAAAATGTTAGTATATGGTGTAATCATGCACACAAGTCTATACAAAGCATGAAGTTTCTCTTTTCAGTATTAGAAATATCGACCACTTTTTCACTCATGAACTCCTGTAAACATTCTTTACGACATCCTATAAAGTCTCAACGGACTATAAAGGAGAGGAAGGACACAGGAGAGCATCAGATACAATGATATGGTGTTCAGATGGCTTCAAAACAAACGAAGGATCCGGATCGGACATTTTCTGTACAAGCCCAAAACATGAGCAATCAAACTCACTAGGGAAGTCCACTTCGGTCTTTCAAGCAGAAGTACATGCCATTAACGCTTGTGCCATAAAAAATCTTAAAACAGATTACACTGGCAAAAATCCTCATTACATATGATAACCAAGCAACTATTAAGTGTTAGCGTGTAAAAACATCACATCCAATCAAATCCAACCTGATGATACCTTGGGTGCCACGGCACAGAGGAGGAATGCATGCAGTACCTTTTGGTAACGAGAAACCAGGCATACTGGCCAGAGAAGGGCCTGGAAGACCATACAGGCCTGAACCTATACTTGAGATAACAAAAACAAACAGAATCTTCCATCGTAGAATGGATCTAAACAAACCAAAAGTTGAAGTGGTTAAACTCTAGCGGCGCAAGACACAGTAAACTTATGACCCCCACCAAGACTGGTAAAATTCACAGCTGAAGTTGGAGAGGGCCAGACTCAAAGGAGTTATAGGACAATTAACCGGTCACTGGCATCTGAGACAACATCTATTGTACATAACATGGGCATATACAACGATGATCCCATCTGCAAATTATCTAATGAGGAGGAGGAAACAGCCACCTTACCATCCTCGAAGGCGAAGCAACAGAATCATTTAACCTAACGTACGAAAAAATCTAGGGAATGAAATTGTAGCAGACAATGACCTGATGCTTCTAAGAAGAAGGATTGACTCTATTGCACTGAACTAAGGAACTAGGAAGATACAATAAGCCAGAAGACTACAGTGCCTGGGAACATATTTCAAAATTTTTGCCCTGATGATGACCTTAAAATAGGTCGAAAGCTTGGCAGTAACAACTGAACTTGCTTTCTTCTTCAATACCATACCCTGATCCAGAGTGTTCTTGTGTAAGGCATGAACGCCGTCCATCAAGAGAGCATCAACTTTCTTTTGCCGATGTGAGCCAACTATGTTGTCCCGTGATCAACCTCGCTGCCGACAAGGATTGGCGGGTAAAGTTGAGGATGGTAATTCGCGGATTAGGGGGTCTGATCGATCGGCTAATGTAGAATGAAAATTTTTGTAACGGAATTGGTCAGTTCGGATAGAATGGGATTTTTAAGTCGGTAGAGAGTATTGTTCGAAAAATTTTAGATTTTTTTTAGACTATTAGGATTGGAACGGTTAGCAGTTCAAGTCCATATTTCAATAGTGGGCCTAGCAGGGACGTGTATAATCTTTTTTTGTTTGTTCCTGTTTGGACCGCTCCAGTAATCTTTTTAGCAGTCTAATGCAGTTGTAAATAAATGAATTAAAATATAAAATTAAAAAAACGACCCAAACATCCATCCCATAAACCATCCCTAAACAATCTTATAGAAAAACCACTAAAACAGTTCTGGTCAATAGATGAAATTTTAAGAGCAATAGAGGAAAACATGGTGAATCATAATCTTAAATATTGTTTTTTGAAACTGTGTTTGTTACTTTGAATCCAGTCGAACAATTTTTACTAATAATTTAATCGGATGTTTTGATTAAAAAATAGAATAAAAACTTCATTTTAAAACCCTGACATCACTCAAAATATTTTTTCTTTTATATTTTAAATTGGAAATACCTACATTAAGCTGAAATTTATCCTAGCCTGTTTGTATTTGATTAATAAGATGTAATATTTCCACCTGTTCTAACCTGGACGGTGGTCATGTTGAGACACGTTATGTTGTCTACATCGCTATCCATAGCAACATGGAAAGAGGGTTGTTCCCTGTACGAAGCTCATCCAAGACTGGCCAGTTTCCACCCCTGTAGAGCAACGCCACCCCTCTGTCCGACCACCTGTTGGCTCGTCGTCCGGGGTCTATTCCTCGTTCAAAATTGGCCTCTCTCACTTTTTCACGGATGGATTTTTCTGGGAAATTCGATTTAAAACTTGTAAAACCATAGTTAAGAAGTTTTCTAAAGCTGTAGGCGGTTTGTAATTTTTACGTGATGGAAGGAAAGGTTAAAAAAAACAAAGGAATATATTCACCTTTGTTCTACAACGTACGGGTCAAAATGACCCAAAAATTTCAAAAACGCGCGTGTGTCAGAGGGCAGTGATCGGAAGAGGTTGAGGCTTTGAGTAGCTTTCCTTCTAATCTTTCTGTAGACGTGGACGCCATCGGAATCCTTTTCACATGTAAGTTACCTTGAAATATTTGGAATAAAGTAACAAAAATCATGGTATGGGTCAATATGACCCCACGTTTTACGACATGTTCTTTTAGTTTTAGTTCAAATTTAATTTCTTTTCTATAAATTTAATTAGTTTTCTTGATGCTTTTCTTTATAATCTTTCTGGATTGTTTCAGTCATGGCAAATACTTCACATTTTGTAACTGACGAAGAAATTCAACGTGAAATAGGAAGATCAGTGATAATGAAAACGAGGAATACTTTTCTGAAAAAGTAACTTACAGTGAAGATGAAATGATTTTTTGCCAAACGACAATGATAAACGTGACGCTTTCGAAGTTCTTCCTGAAGACGATGCGCTCTCAGAGGACCACTTTAGCCCAGAAAATGTTTTTCAAATTTAGGTTCCGAAGATAGAGAATCAAGCAGAAACTTTGTGTTGGGCAAAGATGGCGAAACTATCTGGACTGATGCCGATCTTTTACCGTCCAGAAACGTCAGATTAGCTTCAAAGAATATGATTACCCATCTGCCTGGTGCCAAAGAATATGCTCGGAACCTTGTAGATAAGGAAGCATTGTATTTCTTATTCATCAACCAAGCCATGATTGATGTCATTGGAAAATGTACCAATGAAGAGATTGATAAATAAAAACTCAATATTGTCCTGTCCAGCGCTATTTTATTTTTCAGCGGCGTTATGATAGATTTGAACCTGAATGTCTCAGACATATTTTGTCGTCTATTTAGACCATCGATTTTTCGAGGAGTGATGTCCAAAAACGGATTTATCTTCCTTCTTTGCTTTTCGTTTTTCGGAGTATGTATGTCATTTTTGTTCCTTGTGATACTGTGTTCAATTTTTGTGAAGTTACCTTTTTCATTTTAATTGCATAAGAATTTAATGTGCACTTTACGAAGAAGTTTGACTGTAGTTTTGTAGATACTATAAAAAAACTCGAAGTTAATAATTTTTACAAACAAAGATTTCTCAAATCTTCGCGTTTTTCCTTGCTAGACTGTACTTTATTGTGATTACAATAGGTTTTAAACCATTTATTTTGAAATAAATGTGGTTTCGTATCCTGCAAGGTTAATAAAAGTAAGAACTTTTAAAAAAAAGTTCTTAATATTTCCCAAAAAGTTGAAAAATATGACTCAGTGCACTTAAAAACAGAGTTGGGACAAAATGACCCGACGTTGTAGTACATATCCGGGTATTTCACGTTGTTAACCGAAGGTTAAGCATATATTGTTTATTCTGACTCGTATTTTTAATAAACAAACAGCCACATTGCCAACTCTGGAGAAGAGGTTGTTCACAAGAAGAGCCCAAATGATGCCAGTATCAGATTCCATATTCTTCACTTCCTTCTTCTTCTGCAATGGCAAGGTCCTTGCTGGCTGAATGTTGCTGCCTGAATGGTCTGGACTGGGTCTTCAATTCGATTGTCTTTCCTTTTCAAACTATCCCATTTTATAATTGTTTGCCAATTCGGGTAGGGGAGGAAATAAAAAGAAAAAACAGTTGGGCCAGATGGTCAATTTCCTTCTTGCAAGGGTTGGCTGCGCAACAACTCCAACAATTTTCATGAGATTCCATTACACAGCTTCCATTCACTTCCGGCTAAGAGTGTACATGACGCCAAATTTATGGTGTACCACAGTTAGATGAACTGCCTCTGACTTTCCACTACTCGATTGCTGTTGTTTAGTGACTATTCATCCTTTCTTTAAAAAAAGATAGTTTTTACTCACAGTAAGTTGTTTTCCAACGAACCAGATTTCGAGCCCTGAGCTCATCATCAGGTTGAAAGATTTCTACAACCTCTCTCGACATGAATTGCAAAAGTTACTGTTCGTCTGTCGTGTTCTATGACATACTACTTTTCGGTGCTCCCTTCTGCGTGGTAGACCTTTCAGATTATTTCCAACATATTTTCAAAATCCTTACAACTATTTTTAGCTTGCGTATCAACCGTTCCTAACTTGTCAAGACGAGGATCGGTTTACAAAGGTTTTCTTTGTTAAATCAGTGAAAACATAATTATTATTTTGTCATGTCGTTACGTATCGTTAAATTGATCCTTCGAGTTGGGTCGATTTCGTAATGAATGGTAAGCCACTGGCAAAACAATAACAAAGTACATGCGCAGAGGCGCACCAGGGTCTTACTGATGTTATTGGGACGTCTTGAAAGGAGGGCTAATTGATTTTTGCCAAGCCTTCCAATCTGGTCGTTATTCTCCACCACTTTGACTATTGATGTTGCATACGGGGAACTCACTGAGGAGGTGATAAAGCTCGCAATGAATTGTTTTAGCTTTATTGGGCTACCCAAAGGGGTGACACGTGATAACGTGATCTCCCTCAATCTGTTTTTATTCAGGGGGTCTTTAAGCCTCATAATAAAGTGTATTGTTTTATTTCCTTCTTTAACGATAAGCAGTTAGATCAATGAATTAATTAAGTAGTGAGACACCGATGAGATGTTGGATGAAGGAAAACGAACTTGACAACCCAAGATCCAGTTGGTCATTAGGAGGGGGTGTAAATTTTGATTTTTTTAAGGCACAGAGAACCTAAAAACGTGCCAATAGCGAGAAAGCTCTACACATCGTTTTTTTAATTAACTTGATTTAAAAGTTTCAATAATCTAATTTCAAAAAGGAACATATTTTTCATATATTCACTATTTTTCTTGGTCCGCTTGACCAATTAATTAAGGTTTTTAGTTGAGATAAAAAAGTCAGTGTCACGAACGGGATTCGAACCCACGACTTTCGGCTAGATACGCCGCTACTCTACGACTTGAGACTATCGTGACTTCGATCCACTCGGACACTAACTTCCCATCTCAACCCCACCTTTTGAATTTTCCTTCCTTTTTTGCCATTTTTCAAATGTCGTTTAATTTATTTGATTCTCGGCGACAAATGAAATGTACACGGAGAAGTCACGATAGCTCAAGTGGTAGAGTAGCGGCGTATCTAGCCGAAGGTCGTGGGTTCGAATACCGCTCGTGACACTGCCTTTTTTATCTCAACTAAAAACCTTAATTAATTGAAAGATCGAATAAGAAGATTGGAGGCAGAAACAGAAAAGCATCAGAAGAACATGTCTAATCACGAAAAAATCATAGTCTGCAATGTAATTTTTTATCATAAAACATAACCGAACAAAAAAAAAACTTCACGGCAGTAATGAGTGAGAGATAGATTTCTTTCTTTTTCTGAATCACTCCAACAGTGCTAAAAATTTGCTACTTTAAAAATTATAGAATAATTTGAACACCATGGCATTATTATTTATTTTATAAAAAAACGTAACATCATAAACATATTGCAATAGGATAAAAAATGAATCAATTGTTTTTGTTTGTTATTAACAGCTAGCATTAAATTAAATGAGATTCGGGCTTAGACCATTGGAAATAATGAAAATAAAATAATGGTTTACGAGTTAACTACCAAGTTTGAAATTTTATTTAAGCTATTTAATTAATTATTTCTCGTGTTACTTCGCTAATAATTTTTGGTAAGAGTGGGATCTTTACGGAAAAAGACGTGTGATGGAGTCGGCAAATTTATTCAAAATATACCCAATTTTAAGGACTTTTGTTTTCTTGGTTAATTTAAAAAAAACTTGGCATATTTGCAACAAAAATTTAAGAAATGCCTTCGGTTTTATGTTATTGTAAAAAGAAATTAATTTCTTCTTTTAAACGAAAAAAAGTAGGTATGAAAATACCGTGTTTTTGGAAAAAAAATCCTGATTAAAAATAGATTTTTTTTTTAAATTATGATAACTTTTAAAATACTTCTTGGATTTGAGCCAAACCGAGCTTAAATGTTCCAGGAAGATTCGTGCTTAAAATCGGTACGAAAAATTTGAAAATCCAATGATGAGGGTGTAGCTAGGATGGAGAGAAGTTAAACAAACCGAGCTGGTTGTTGTGCGGGAGAAAACGCAAAAATGGCAAAAATGTTGATTGAATTTTTTATTTTCATTGCCCATAACTCTGCGACCCCAGACCATTTGTCTGAAAAACAATCTCAACCGTGTTTATAAAATTCTATACCACCCGGCCAAATTTCATTGCAATGCGATCAAAAATGCGGCCGTTAGAGAGAGCTAGATTTTTGACATTTCTACCTAATTCTACCTAAAATTAAACATCAACTTACACGTTTCTTGATATCAAATAGAATGATCGAAGTATCGAACCGGGGGAAAACAAAGCCAAAGCGTGACCAGTTAAAAGGAAATTGATTTAATTTAAGGAAGGTTTATCAGAGGTAACAGGTCAAGGTGTTATAATTCTGAAAATAATCCTATTCACATAATTAAGACTAAACTAAGACACATTACATATACCACATAACATCTTCACTTGTCTCCAGGGGGTAATTTCGCTTGAATGCGGATTCAAACCTCAATTTAGCCGAAGGTCGTTGGTTCGAATTCCGCTCGTGACACTAGGTTTTTTATTTCAACCAATACCTTACACAATTTGAAGTATTGAACTTGAATTTTTTCGGGAAAAACCTGGGGGGATCGAGATGAGATCTGACGAGGGTTCCAATTAAGG